TGCATAATTAACTTGTAAACTGGCCAGAGAGTGCTTTAAGCGCTATGGGGTGGTATACAAGCAGCACGATTTGCTTTTTTTTAAAGTGTTTCTGCACACTTTTACACTGGTAGCCATCTTTCTATAAAACAAAGCAAGGACCTTCCTGTTCAGACAGGCTTTTCTTTAACGACTGGGGGCCTGAGAGGAGTGAAACAGGAGGTGTTAGCAAGACAACCCATTCAATCTGCCCATGACATTTCCTAGGAACGACAACCCTTTCTCATCTATATTGCTAATAGTATGAGCATTTACCATATGCAAGTATAAGAGGAGTGTTTTGCAGCAGATCATAGAGTTTTTCCCCCTACAACTGATTTCCTCCAGGTATTTACAGCAGATGGTGCCATTTTTGTCAGAATTCTGCTGTTTTGGACCATCACCAGACATTGCTTTGCATTAACTAGAAAGTATTACATAAGCCATATGTTTTTAAATAAATAAATAAATAAATATAAAACAACATCTTAAGTTACAAGTGCTTTGTAACGACATAAATATACATGATGTTTGACATATCCGGAACCATGAAATCTAGTTTTCGGATCTTAGGTATACAATGCCTTTTATCTGTAACATTTTAAATTTGTTCATTACCACAGCATTTAGTTGCAGCTGGCTAAATCTACAGAAACCTAAGAGAACACTTACATTTTGTTTTCTTTAGATCCCCTCAGCTTCCAACCCTAGTTTATCACCATGGCATCACCTTGAATAGCTTTAACATCAACTCTGCCATCTGCTGAGAGCTTTGAAACACTTTTTTTAAAACAGCAACTTTCACTGACACTTTAGAAGCCTCAATGGGATTAACTAAGCTCCTTTGAAGTTTTAAGAAAGTAATGAAACACAAACATTTCAAGTCATCTTTTCTATTCAGCAACACAAAGTTCATCTTATATTTTCCACCAAATACCTTATCCTATTGTCTTTATCTACTGTTCTTTTTTTTCTCTTCCTCATGAAAACTAAACACTGAAAGCACAATACTACACAGATGGCTGGGCAGCAACTTCTGCAAAGCCCAACTGCCTCACAAAGGCCCTAAAGGAAGGTTGGGCAACTTCCATGGTTAAGATAAGGAAGGAAGCACACATCTGCCCTGTCCATATGGCATCTTCCCCAACTGGCCCTCCGCCCTTAGCCATGGCCGCAGCATCCCCTGCCCAAGTCCTGTTCTTGTGGCTGAGGCACGGAGGAGAGGACACTGGGTTGGTGGGTGGGGCGGGCATGAACAAGGAAGGCTGATTTGCTCCCTCTTAGTGATAGCACAAGTTATGACTGAGCCAGAAGGTAAGGGATCTCTGCCTATCACTTTCTGTCACAGAAGTCAATGGAGCAATTTTACTTCATTCTGTAATAGAGAGCAACCCGTCCTTTCAGTGCTATTTTTCAGATGGAACAGTGCCAGCTGCCAGCTTCATAGGCAACTGACAGTTAGGGATGGCCCTTTCCTGTCTCAACGAAAGGCCCTAAACAAGAAATAGGCTTACATATAATTTGTTTTCTTTTGGCAAATGCTTGAAAAAGAAACAGCCTCTGAACACGAATTATTCATATTTACAAAAGAGGGGCATATGAAGTTTTGTGCTTCTTTCATGCTCCTCTTTTGATGCCCCTACACCCTTTGTCTGCCAAACTGCATGAGAATTTTTCATCCAATAATATTGCAAATGAGAATGTCCAGAGAGATTGGGATTTTTTTTAATTTGAAAAAGAGTCTGGAACCCAGTGAAGAGTGCTCTTCAGTCATTCCTCGTGAGACTACTGTGTTTGAGATGCTGGTGCCCTCCATCTTTGATTACTCTCCATCTGTCCACTGTACCTCCATCTTAGATCTTTCCTCTCTTTTATTACCCTTTTTCTTGATTTTTTTGGGGGGGGAGGAAATCTTCTCCATTTCTTAGAAATATTTTTGTTACTACTGCTAAATGTGATAATACAAACTACAGCCTGCCTTGGTCTGATTAATTTTTTTTCTTATATACTGTTGTCTATTTTTAGAGTAGACTGATTCTTTGTTGCCTTGCTTCTGAATTTCTGGAGTAGTTTTAAAAGTTTATTTAGGGCTATCTGTATGCCTGAAACCATGAATGGGGAAGCATAAATGGAAAACCCAAAAGAGGCTTTCCTTTTCATGTCAAAGAAAAGGAACAGTAAAAAAAAAAAAAGCATGAAAACAAAAGAGACTGCCCTGTAAGATCCTGAAATTTTTGCTGTTCACATCCCTTGTGACCTTTTTGGTTCATCACAAAGTCACTCTTTACCACTACATAGTGTACACAGGTACACTCTAAATCACTATTTCCACTGACAGGGAACAAAAGGCAAGCAGTTACTGGACTAAATCTCAAAGAACCCAGATTTAAATGACCACAGAAGTATAATACAGCTCAAGTCTCTGTTATGATAGAAATAAATAAATAAATAAGGAAAGGTAAGGCACTTAATTATACTGAAAAGAGCTAAATATTTTTCTCCAATATCCTCAAATTCACCTCATCTGAGATTTCAGCTATACACATATCTCTTAATTAACAAGGACATAAACCAAGAACTCTTTTGTTAATTGACAGTATAGTTTTAATTGCTGCTAAAACTATCCACAAAATTTAGCCAGTCAATAGAAAAATATGTCCTATTTATTCAGAACAAAGGCCTTTTCCACTTTATGATTATTACAGACCACATGCTTTCAAATAAATTACTTTACACTGTTTTCTTGGTTTTGGCAAAGGGTAGAAAAGCAATAAATGCCATGAAGACCCAACTAATTTCAGTGAAGTTTTCAAACATATGGATATCTCCTCAAGCAATCCCCAGAAAACATGGATAGTGCATTGAAATGAAGGTTCAGTGCACAGGTCAGTAAACCAAAATATTGCAGACACTTTACGAAGGTAAATCAAATCTCAGTTTCCAGCAACCCATTATATAGCCTTAGACAATTTCTTCTCTTGAAAGCATAGTCCCACTCGTTAAGAATACTAATGATGTACCTCAAAGGGCTGTTTGGGGAGCAAACACAATGCAGACAGTCCAGGTCCTCAGCAAATGAAGTGCTATGTTTTGCTTTCTAGAAGAAAGTCTGTGAAATGTGGCATCAACACATCAATCACCATTAAGACATTCTGTATAAATAAGAATATTACTCCTTTTCATACTACGTTTGTTCAGTACGTGTGCCCTGGAGTCCTACCCATCTTAAATCCAGACACCGGGCTTTCAGTCAAAGTCTCCCACTCGGCTGTGCATGAATTCATGATTCTGGAATTTCCAGTGAAATCATAAAGGTGCAAAGTGTGTTTGCCTCCATCTTCCTTTCATATACAGTACTACCAATACATATTCATAGCATAGAAATATATGTTGCTGCATTTTAAACACTCACAGTGGAACATTTTTAAATCCCAAGCTCTATTTCATGCTTGGCGGCCCTTCCCACCCTTATGTCCACCCTGTAAAAACTTTGGTCTCTCCTGAATTTGTCACCTCTAACCTGTGCCTCATTCTTTACTTTGTATAGACAGTAAACTCCTGCAAGAAGTCATGAAGATATTTAATAACAACAGAACAAAGTTATGAACTGCCAACCAGCAAAAGTGATACATTCCACAGAAGAGAATGGAAGCTTACAGAGCCTAATTTTGTACCAGGTTTTTAACATTTAAAATAAATATTTCCTAAAACTGATCAGAATTCCTTCTGTTTATTAAGCGCGCAAATATGAGCAAACATTGCAATGTGTATGTTCTAGGGGTATGTCCTTTCATGTTTTTGGACTGCAATTCCTGGAATTGAAGAATTGCAGCCCACAGATTCAAATCTGCCCATCTGTAGGTTTTATTCCTAATTTCCAGTGTACAGGAATATAACTTGAAAACCACTTTCTAGGAAGGCAAACCCTACAACTGTGCAAATTTTGTTTTCTGGGCTGCAATTCTTGGAGAATTCTAGGAACTAAAAACACCTAAGGAGTAATCCTTAGTAGGACCTGCTCAAGTTTTAAAATGTTAATCACAGTAGTACTGCAACGCTATGTAAGCAACCTTAAGTGGAAGCTCCTCTGAATCCATTATGATTTTCTTGATTCTGAACAAACATGCATAGAACTGGTCTGTAAAACTGATTTTTAATAAGTAACCTAAAAGTACACAGCAAACAACATTAAACATCACAGGGAGCAATATTTAATATTACAAATACAAAATTTATGAATACCACATTTACAACAAATTTTTAACATTTTTATCTAAATAAGTAAAATAAATAACAAGGCTTAAAAATTAATGTGAAAAACAACTATTTGAAAGGTTTAGTTGACAAAATCAAAACTCCAAACATAAGTGTTCCACTCCTTAAAAGTAGTAAATTATAATGAGAACTGTGACTTTCACATTGCATTGTTTGTGCTGAACTTTTAATGCCTCTTCAGATTTTTTCTTCATTCAATGGTGGCGCTGCGGGCTAAACCGCAAAAGCCTCTGCTGCAGGGTCAGAAGACCAGCAGTTATAAGATCGAATCCACGTGACAGAGTGAGCTCCCGTTGATTTGTCCCAGCTCCTTGCCAACCTAGCAGTTCGAAAGCATGCAAATGTAAATAAATAGGGACCACCTCGGTGGGAAGGTAAAACGGCGTTCCCTAGTCACGCTGGCGGTGTGACAACGGAAAACTGTCTTCAGACAAGCACTGGCTCTACGGCTTGAAAATGGGATGAGCACCGCCCCCTAGAGTCGGACACGACTGGACTAAAAATGTCAAGGGGAACCTTTACCTTTAGAACAGCAACAACAGCATCGACAACAGCAGATCTAAGCAGCTGATAAGAAAACATCCAACCATAAACTGAGGGTATAACTTACAATTTGGCCTACTGGACAAATTCAAACCAAAGCATGGGACAGTCCCAAATTGCTCCTTCTTATAGCAAGGTATACAATTTTACAGCAATAAACATACCTCCACAAAGAACTCTCCAGTACTTTGCCCATATCAGTATGATAATACTTGGTAAGGATGAGAATTACCTGGAAGAAAACAAATGAAAATAGAAAATTAAGTTACATGTGCCAGGAAACAAATGTTATTTATATCAATATATGAAAAAAAAAGAAAAGAAAAAGAAACATTCTGTTAAAATTAAAGATAACTGGGTTCTTACAATTATATTCGTGTTTTGCTTTTGTGACCAGTTTGCTCTTAATTACAAATTATCTAGTAGACTTTGCTGTCAAATGACCATGGGAAACAAAAAGGGATAATATTCTCTAAGAGTGCAGTCATATAAAAACTTACTGAGGAGTAAATCACAATGAACTCAGTGAGGGCTATCTCCAAGCTGGTGTGTACACATTTGCACCGTATGGGAACACAGTGAAATCTTACGCACATGTAAAGTATCAGTTAATTTAGAGCGACTTACCCCACCTTAATGGGTAAAGGTTTGAAACCTCAAAAACCACAGACCAGAGCAGAAGGATTTTTTAAATGATCTGAGCACATAATTTATATTCTAAGAGAGCCTCTGTTACAATGTGTGAGCCTACTACAAGAAAGAAAAATTGCACATTCTTGGAATTTGTTAAGAAATTTCTTGAAGAAAAGAAAAGATTAATTCCTTAGTTACCTCATAACATCCAGTAATACTATTAAAGTACAACTTTAGAACTCTCAAATCCATTTGGCAAATATGGTCTTAATGTGTTAGTAAATCCCAAGGATCAGAAATTTTTTAAATGGTTGCTATTATTAAATCTCAGCTAGACATTAGGTAGCAACATCCTGTGTTACTTATATGACCAATATAACAAAGAATTAGGCCTAGTTAGCTGTTAACAGGTAAGTAAGGAAAATAAAACAATAATCCTGTCAAAATAGAAGTTAAATAACATTCCTAAAGAATTTAAAGACCCTGCAAAGAACAGATTTGCATTAGTAGTCACAGTGGATTACAAACCAGAACGCAGACCAAAACCAGATATATTATAAGGAAAGAATATAAAAAGATTGTTCCTGACCTGTAGCCAAAAGAAAAACCTCAATGGATGACTCATGAGACTTAAAATTGTTAAGAGCAACCAAGAAGCAAAAATAAATAGTGACAAAAATAGAGCCCTAAATGTAACTGTCCTCCTTCTTGCATACAGGAGATCTCTTACAGAAATCAAAGGGAATTTTAAATCAAGATTAGCCATGTTAAAATATTAACAATGGGACATATTATTTGATTAAATTATTTTAAAAGTTGGAAAAAAAGCTGAAGAATTAGACCTGAAAATTACAAGGCTGACGGATTCCTGAAGAAAAGCATGTAGATTTAGAAAGCAAAATGAAAGCAGCTCACAAGATTTTACAACAAAGACTTATCACATATGGAACAAGAAACACCAGCGGTATGCAAAAAAAAAAAAAAAAAGCTCGATTCAGAAAAGAAAAAGACCTAGAAATCATATTGCAAACATACAACAGCTGCTGAAGTATTCTCCAAGAATTTCAGAAGAAAACCAGTTTGTATTTTATAGATTACAGTAAAGCCTTTGACTGTGTAGATCTCGAAAAGCTATGATCATTCCAAAAGAAAGGAGATCATACTCTGGACAATAGGAAATAGCAATGACTTGGAACAAATGTCTGAGGAAGGTGAAAGAAGAAACTGTAAGAGCAGGATTACGCTGAACATGAAGATGACAAAAATATGATTACAGGAGTATTAGATGGTTTCAGGGTTGATGGGGGTGGGTGTTTGCGCTTTTTGTTTTTTGACATCAATTCCCAGCATTCTCCAAGAACCCACACACACACACCAAAATTCTGGCTACATTTTGCTCACATAGAATAAGACCTACAGTACTTATCAAGGCTGCACAGCTTTCTCCTGCCTTGCTTCCCGAGTTCATGTTTAGTGAAAAAAAGGAAACTGCCATGGTACTTCCGGGGAGTCAAAAACCTGCTGTCCATTCTGCTCTATACAAGGTGCCTCCTAAAGAACTACAACTTACAGGAAGCACTGCAGCGTCTTCATCTTCTCTTCCTTCCTTACATTAACAACAGGAAAGCAGAAAGAGATTGCTGCAGATAAGCAAAAAGTATGTGTCTGTAGGTGTGTGTCTGTGGATTGCAACTCCCAGAATTCTGTCTATGGAATTCTTGGAATTTCAGTCCAAAAAGAACAGAAGAAAATAAAAGAAAAAGAAAATACACACCCTAGTGTTGAAAATGAAGAACTGAAATAGTTGAAGATTTTCTATATCAGTTCAATCATCAGTCCAAATGCAGTCTACAAAATGGCAGAAAATGATTTGGAAGGACAGTGTGAAGGAACTAGGAAAGATTTTTAAGATGGAGGGTGTTCACAGAAGGCTCAAGCCAAGAATATTATGCCTTTCCTGATTATTATGTACAGATATGAAAGCTAGGCAACAAAGAAAGCGGACAGAAAAAAAGGTCATTGTATTTTTATTTATGTATTTAAAATATTTCTATCCTGCCTTCCTCCTCAAAAGGGACCCAAAGCAGTTCACATTATTTTAAAGACAGTATATTTAAAAAGCTAAAAACAGTAAATATACCAATATTTTTTAAAAAAATTAAACAAGTATTATATTAAAAATAAAATCAAGATTAAAACTCATTTAAAACAACAAGAGCACAACAATCTAATTAAAAATCCCTCTCAGACCATCAGTCACTGAGGAAAAGACAGCTTGAAGAGAAAGGTCTTTGCTGTCATTTGATAGCTTTAAGACCTTGATGAAAAGACCCTGATGTTAGGAAAGTGTGGCAAGAGGAGAAGGGGACGACAGAGGATGAGATGGTTGGACAGTGTCATGGAAGCAACCAACATGAAGACAGGAGGGCCTGGCGTGCTCTGGTCCATGGGGTCACGAAGAGTCGGACACGACTAAACGACTAACGAACAATAGCTTTACAGATACTACGGACTGCTAGAAAGACAAATAAACAGACTCTACATCAAATGAAGCCTGAACTCTGATTAGAAACTGAAATAAAAGTGCTATCATACTTCGGACAAATTATGAGAAGACAAAAGTCACTGGAGAAGACAAAAATTCTAGGGGAAAAAATGAAAAGCAGAAGAAAAAGAGGAAGACCTAACATGAAATTGGCTGAATCGATAAAGAAGCCACTGCCTTTATTTTGCAGCCCTGAGTAGTGCTATTAATGATAGGAATCTTTGGAGAGCCATTAATTCATACAGTTGCCGTTAAGTGGAAGCAACCTGATGGCACAAAAGAAAAACAGTTGCTAACAAAGCCGTATGACTATTCTGTTATATTGCCCTGTACAAAAAGGCTTACAATGAAAAACCTAGGGCAATATAACAGAATAGTCATTTGGGGCAAAGGGTACAGCACACTGGTGCTCCATCAGAGCAGGTAATGGCTGCATATTTTATTTATTTCACTTTTTTCTCTCCATCTAGAATGCTTCCCGAGCCAGCTCATATAAAATAATAAAACACAATGAAATCGGAACAGCTTCTGTCCTCCCAGACACATCTAATTGCTATCCGTCGAATTCCTCTACCCTCAGAGTTTCTCTCTGCTGCCATTCTTATTCGGCCGTTATAACTGTGAACACACTCTTTCATCCCTTTTCCCACTCCTTATGCCCAGCTAAATCTGTTCATTAGGGAATGCATACTGCCATTAAACTGCTTACCACAGTTGTGGTTCACTGCATACACTTTACATTAAAAAAACAAAAAAAACCACAACATCTCTATGTAATCCACAGATGCACAAACATACTGATATTTTTGGCTCTGCTGACTTTCCCCCCAACAAAGAAATGATGAAGGGAGGAATAAAGGGACATCTGGGGTATTGTTTCCTTTAGACTGTAGAGGAAGACATGAAAGATGCCCTGTGAATCCTCAGATCTGCCAAAGACCAGGTAGGCGCCTTGGTGGGGGTTTCCTTCTAATGTAGCAACAGTCTCTTTAGCTTGTAGAAGGTGAGAAGCGTGAATGAGTGACCTCTCACAAGGTCATTAAACAGTCAGGTTTCAATCAGATCAAAGCCAGTTGCCTAGTTGTAACACATATGTTAGTCCAAACCACATTCCTCTTCTTTGTTTCTGATTTCTGCCCTAAAGCACCTGCTAGGATATATATCACACAGGGCGTGTTGTTGTGCAGAGAAGAGCTCATACAAACAGATGGTTCTGAGGACTACATGTCTATTCAAAGCTATTTGAATTCTCAAAGCAATAAATGAAAGGGAAATGTCTGTAGGCTGAGACCAAGAAGAATGGGGTAGACTGAAATATTCTTTATATACTACCCTGTTTCCCTGAAAATAAGCCCTAACCTGAAAATAAGCCCTAGTATGATTTTCAGGATGTTTGTAATATAAGCCCTACCCCCAAAAATAAGCCCCAGTTAAGTGAAAAACCACCATCCACCACTGTGCAGCAACCAGTAGACAACGACATGACTGTATTTGAATAAACGCAGATTGTACATGAAAAAAACAAAGTATCCCATGAAAATAACACCCGAATGCGTTTTTAGAGCAAAAATTAATGTAAGACCCTGTCTTATTTTCAGGGAAACACGGTATTCATATGGTGAAGAGCGTGAACTGTATAAAAGATCATCTTATTATGTAGCAATCAATATTTGTTCAATGGCTGAATCTGGTACAGGATATATAAACAGTCATGGCCTAGTTGCCTGACAATTTATATCCATAAGCAATTCACAACAAGAACACTTTCTTGCTGAAATCATATCAATTATCATTTAAATTTTCCTTGAGATTAAGCCTGGTGCTTACTTTAAAAAAAAAGAAATAGACATTACTTTAATTGATAGCAAATCACTTAAATATTCTGGATCACACCTGAGAATTCTAAATAATTATTCTGCAGATATTCTGCAGACATCTTGATATGTGCAGCCACAAGAACATTTAACTCCAGTTCATCCTCTCCTGATGGAAAAAGAATAATTGTTTTATTGACAATGAAATACAAACAGTCCATTCAGTAACAGGGGAACAGA